GGCTGAGGCCGTGGGGGCGGGACAGCACCACTGCTAACGAGGGGCTCGTCAGTGACCCCCCGCTGCAGGCACCCCCCCAACCCGATCCCCCGCTCTGCTTTCTACCCCCTGCTCCGCTTTCTGCTCCCTGCCCCTCGAGGCGCCGGCCGCAGCGCTCACCCTTGATGACGGACTGGTCGAACATGGTCTTGGGGAAGATGAACAGCTGCTCTGTGAGGTTCTGGGGGCAGAGACGGGCAGGATCAGGCCTCTTGCTTGCTCGCTCACTCTCACTTTCTCTCTCTCTCTCTCTCCTGGGTCCCATTCCCAGCTCTGCTCCACCCTGCCGTGTGCCTCGGTTTCCCCCACCAGGACCTGGCCCTGGCCCTGCCAACAACCTCCCCAACCCCCCTCCCAGCAGGACGCCTGGCTTGGGGGCGGATCGCTGGGCAACTGGAGGCTACCACCCACTTATGCAAATGAGCCAGCAATCAATTTGCATGTTAAACAGGCAGTGATCTCCCCCAAAGATACAGCAGAGCAATTCCTGACTTCCCACAATGCCCTGGGGCGAAGCAGGCTGCCTGCTCTCTCCCCATTCCCACATCTATAGGGGCCTGGGAGAGCCCTCCTCCTATAGAGCCCCTCCCTCGCAATGCAAAGGGGACCCTCTCTATACGGTACGGAGAGCGCCTATATGGGGCCACATCCATCGGTGATCGAAGCGAGGGGTCCTCGTCTATAGGTGAGTGGGGGGGTCCACTCCTATAGCAGACTGGGGGAGTCCATGTCTATAGGAGACTGGCAGGGGGAGTTCCTTATCTATAGGGGATGGGGGGGCAATTCCTTGTGTATAGGGAACGGGGGGGGGTGTTTATGTCTATACAGGACAAAAGGATAGTCCTTGTCTATAGGGGACTGAGATGGGAAACCATCTTTGTCTATAAGGGACCGGGGGGGTCCGTCTCTGTAGGGGACTGGGTGGTGTCTATAGGGGACCACGCACAAGGTAGATCCTGATCTACAGAGGGATCGGGGGACGCACGTCTATAGGGGACCAAAAAGGGACCTATATCGATAAGGCACCAAAAGGAGGGGACATCTCCATTAGGGACCATGGGGGGGGGGTTGCCTATAGGGGACCGGGAAGATCCTTCTCTATAAGGAACTGGCCGGGGAGAGTCCATGCCTACAGGGGAGGTGCCTGTCTATAGGGGCGGGGTACCTATAGGAAACTCCGCGTGGGGAGAACCTGGTCTCCGGGGGACCAAGGGGCAGGTGCCTGTCTGTAGGGGAGGGGGTGTCTCGTGGGGGTCCAGGTCTATAGGGGCCGGGGGGTGTCTAGAGGGGAGCACCCTCGCCTATAGGGGCCGGCGGCGGGGCTCTCCGGGGTCGTCCCCCCCCCC